GTGAACTATATGTGCACGTGCATGCATACACACAGTTCACTCGCTAGCCTCTAACCCAGGGGAATTTTAATAATCAGTGGAAAATTACTGTACTGTATTAACAATTACAATACGGACATCCATTTTTCCTACACAAATCCATGCAGGCTACATTAATTTTATTTATAATAAGAAAGAATATGGTATACAGTGTGTATTAACGAGTTATATAAAATGCTATTGTATTAATCGGGTAGCCTAGAGGCTACCTAATGTTGCGGTCATTGGCTTGATCAACTCTCATGACACCCCAGGTCACCACTATACCAACACCATGAGTATTGCTGCAACCCTACACTACAACAGTACTGAAAACACACTTTGGACACCAGCAGTCTTATACCGCTGACAACAATACACTTTTGACACTAGTAACCCAACACCAATTGAAATTGTGAGAGGGCAAGAGACCAAAAGACACAAAAATGGAATCAGTATAGGAAGAGGCCAAACCCCCAAACATACCAGCGATACAAAGATGCGAGAAACAATTATACAGCAGTAAGGAGAGAGGCAGAAAGAAATTTTGAAAAAGGGATAGCAGATAAATGTAAAACAGAACCGGGCCTATTCTACAAATTCATAAACAACAAATTGCAGGTAAAGGATAATATCCAGAGGTTGGAAATGGGAAACAGATTCACGGAAAATGAAAAGGAAATGTGTGAAACATTAAATGAAAAGTTCCAAAGTGTGTTTGTACAAAATGAAATCTTCAGAGAACCAGACACAATAAGAATTCCAGAGAACAACATAGAGCGGATAGAGGTGTCTAGAGATGAAGTGGAAAATATGCTAAAGGAGCTCGGGAGGAACAAAGCAGCTGGCCCAGATGGCGTTTCACCATGGGTTCTGAGAGAATGTGCATCTGAGCTCAGCATTCCACTTCACCTGATCTTTCAGGCATCCCTGTGTACAGGAATCGTAGCAGACGTGTGGAAACAGGCTAACATAGTTCCAATCTACAAAAGTGGCAGCAGGGAAGACCCCCTCAATTATAGACCTGTATCATTGACAAGTGTAATAGTGAAAGTATTGGAAAAGCTAATCAAAACTAAATGGGTAGAACACCTGGAGAGAAATGATATAATATCAGACAGACAGTATGGTTTTCGATCAGGAAGATCCTGTGTATCGAATTTACTCATTTCTATGATCGGGCCACAGAGATATTACAGGAAAGAGATGGCTGGGTTGACTGCATCTATCTGGACCTAAAAAAGGCTTTCGACAGAGTTCCACATAAGAGGTTGTTCTGGAAACTGGAAAATATTGGAGGGTGTGACAGGTAAGCTTCTATCATGGATGAAAAATTTTCTGACTGATAGAAAAATGAGGGCAGTAATCAGAGGCAATGTATCGGAATGGAGAAATGTCACAAGTGGAGTACCACAGGGTTCAGTTCTTGCACCAGTGATGTTTATTGTCTACATAAATGATCTACCAGTTGGTATACAGAATTATATGAACATGTTTGCTGATGATGCTAAGATAATAGGAAGGATAAGAATTTAGATGACTGTCATGCCCTTCAAAAAGACCTGGACAAAATAAGTATATGGAGCACCACTTGGCAAATGGAATTTAATGTTAATAAATGTCATGTTATGGAATGTGGAATAGGAGAACATAGACCCCACACAACCTATATATTATGTGAGAAATCTTTAACGAATTCTGATAAAGAAAGAGATCTAGGAGTGGTTCTAGATAGAAAACTATCACCTGAGGACCACATAAAGAATATTGTGCAAGGAGCCTATGCTATGCTTTCTAACTTCAGAATTGCATTTAAATACATGGATGGCGATATACTAAAGAAATTGTTCATGACTTTTGTTAGGCCAAAGCTAGAATATGCAGCTGTTGTGTGGTGCCCATATCTTAAGAAGCACATCAACAAACTGGAAAAGGTGCAAAGACATGCTACTAAGTGGCTCCCAGAACTGAAGGGCAAGAGCTACGAGGAGAGGTTAGAAGCATTAAATATGCCAAAACTAGAAGACAGAAGAAAAAGAGGTGATATGATCACTACGTACAAAATAGTAACAGGAATTGATAAAATCGACAGGGAAGACTTCCTGAGACCTGGAACTTCAAGAACAAGAGGTCATAGATTTAAACTAGCTAAACACAGATGCCGAAGAAATATAAGAAAATTCACCTTCGCAAATAGAGTGGTAGACGGTTGGAACAAGTTAGGTGAGAGGGTGGTGGAGGCCAAGACCGTCAGTGGTTTCAAAGCGTTATATGACAAAGAGTGCTGGGAAGACGGGACACCACGAGCGTAGCTCTCATCCTGTAACTACACTTAGGTAATTACACTTAGGTAATTACCAGAGTGCACCTTTGACACAATAAAATATCTCCTCACACCACCAGTATCTGATCACCCTCCCCCCCCCCCTTTCCTTTCTCCCCTTCTCTCAGATACAATGGGCAACAATGTGTAACAATGGGCAAGTTGAAACTATTGTGTTCAAGAGTGGAAACCACATCTATAAAAGGAATTTCCATTGCTAGAAAAGTGACCAAAATAATGCAGGATTCATGGTATTAAAAATTATGCATGTGGTGTCACTTGACCTCCATTTTTTTCCCCGGTATATGCCTTTCAGGGTATGTAGCGGGGAACTTGCGCCAATCAGGTGGCAGCTCCTTTCTGAGCTTTAGCATTGGTTGCAGTTGTCAGCTGTTCTTGATTAGGAAGTTATGGGACTTGGTGACTTGATTGGAAATGTGTTGTTAAATTCTCACTTTTTTCTTATCTGAGACCCTCAAGTATTTTCCAGGTGCTGTGTGTTGCTTCATGTTCACCCCTATTCTCTAGGTTTCTGTAAGTTTCTATCATTCCTTCGGGGATCATATTTGTTTCCAGTTAAGTTCGTGTATGTTTCTGAACTGCTGTGTTTTAAACCCAGACAGTTTCACATTCCTTGTTGGCCAATGGCCTTGGACTCTTATGGCCACAAGGCCTTGAAGTGTTCTGCCTTGTGGAAATCCATAACTAGCTTCTTTCTTATTTTTGCTTTTGCTTGGAGATGGTGATCGTTCAGTTTTTGAATATAGGAAGGCCTTTGAGTTGGCTTTCTTTTATCAAATCGAAACTTGGCATTTTGCTCCTGACCTGATTTACCTTGGTTTTCACAAGGAAGGGATATTGAGTTTATATGGTTTCTCATTGATTTTCTCTGGCATTAATTCATTCTACTGTACCTTGCTTCATGGCTGGGGTTGATCTCCTGTTTCTCGGCCTCATCTCTTTTTCTGGGAGGGTCCCCTCAGCTCCTGCTCAATACTACAGCATGGCAGGAATCAGTCCTTGGGAAAGATTCCAAAAGGCTACAAAAAGCCAAGACTGGAATCTGGTCTGCTTTAAGAGTTGTAGGGAAAGCCTGAAGATAGGTGATCACAGGACCAGCAAAAGACCCATCAGAAAGCCAAAATATCCAAAACAAGCTACCATTTTGAAAAATTAGTAACCCTGATGAAAAATGCAAATTGTCTTCATTGTGGTGAAATCACCACCTAGATACATGCCCATCACTAGTTGGCATCCCAGGTGTCTTAGAGCCCCAATTAGTCGGTACGCTCATTCACAAGCCTGGTATGTGACTAGAGAGACTGGGCTCTACTGGGCCTTCTGTTACCTTTGTTGGTTATCCATGGAATAATAGGTCCAATTTTGGCCATTGCTTGCAGGGTTTTGTTCCACATTTTACTTTGTGTGTTTTGTGCCACCCACTTTACATGTAGCCTGCATTGGCAATTTATTTCAGCTATTGTGACTAAGCTTATCTTTCCTGGTGGCCAGCCTGCATTGTCCTGACCACTTCAGGGTTGTTTTCCTTTAATGGTTCTGGTTGCCTCCTTTTGATGTATCTCACTTCTGGGCAGTGCATGGGATTTTGCCCCTCTGTGAGACCTGTGGATGAAGAATGCTAGTTGCTAGCAGTTTGCTAGTGTGTTTTGCATCTGAATTGCTGTTAGAGCTATCATTACTAATGCTGTGGCAGAGGGTGCATTTGGGTAGTATGAGTAACTGGCTTTGCCTGGGCAACTTGCACCTTCTTTCACTGAGAGGCTATCAAGTCTTGGGTTGATGTCTGTATTACCGAGATGCTCCATGTGCCTAGCCTACCCGCTTTCCATTGACAGTTAGACTACTGGTTCCTAACTCAGAACCCAACAGTCACTATTGAAATTTGTTACTCTGCCTGTTGGGATTGAGAGTTCTTACACCCTCTGATATCCGATGTTTGTCGCAGTTGGACTTCTGTTTTAGCTGAACCACCTCACCTGGCTTCTCAACCTCCACCGTTGGTTTGGGCTCTGAAGTGACTTGAGTAGGGCCTGGCATTCCCAGGAGCTTGTGGGTTGCCTCTCACTAAAAATTGTCTACTTTGTATTTTGGAAACCAGGAGTCTGGGACTTATTCAGATGATGCTTGCTCTCTTCCTACAGATTCTCAAGTATCTGGAGGAGATGTTGATTCCATTCCAGGGCATTTTCCCTATACAGGGGGGGGGGGAAACTCTTGCTGTCAGGGCTGTTCAGAGGATGGTTCTTTGTAGCACTTTATATTGAATGGTTCTTTGTTGCACTATTTGGGGAGATTACATGGGTGTTGGTGGTATCAGGTGCAATTTCTTAGTTTTGTTAGGCAGATGTTTTGCTGGAGTTTCCACCCCTGGCCTCAATTTCCAGACGACAAAGATTCAGGCTTCTCAGACTTGGTGTCAGCAAAGGATATGGGAGGAAATTCATAATAAACCCAATGATGAGTAGGAGTGCCATATGCAGAATTGTAAACCACACTATGAATATCAGAGGCCCATGGCTCTTTACTCACACAGGTAGAATAGGGTAGTGAAGGAGTTAATGTAACTAATTACTCTGTTACTGTAGTAAAGCATGTCACCAGATGTTAAACCACAATTTTGATTCTTAATGTATCTTACAGTGCGAAAGGTTTCATGGAGTGGCTAGTAAAGCAAAATTCACAAAATGAGACTTTCCGTTGGGAATGCATCTTTCTTCCTGATAATGGTGCGTTCTTTGTCAACTATGTCATCACTTCTGCGTTCATTGGAACATCACTAGAGCTAATTCGATTCCCAGAGCTGTTCATGTACATAGTGCGGCTTGCTCTGTCAAGGTAAGACTTAACTATAATGTCATAAAAGAATATTAACATAAAACCTCTTTTAATTATCAATTAAAACTTTGTTGAATCTAACAAACTATGCACATGGTTTAATAATTCAACAGAATTCAATGCACCATTTTAACCATTACAGAATTGTTAAATACAAAATTATTTTTTTGATTAATAATGGTTTCATAAAACTTTTTATAACCTGCAGATCTGAAGCCGAGACTGCCAGTGTGAGACGTGCTATCCTCTATGAGTTTCCATTTGGCGTTCAGTATGCCTGGATGTTACTAATTTTCGCAATGACTATCATCTACTCCATATCTTGTCCACTCATAACTCCATTTGGTACGTAATTATTTGTTCCTTAGGCTTGTTATTTTCTAAAACAATGTGTGTGTGTGTGTGTGTGTGTGCAAGCATGTGAGTGCAGTATGCGAGGGAGGGGAGCAAGTTAAGATGCCCAGGTGTCTTGCAATAACACCTTCATAAAGCTGTTGCAGAATTTTTCCAGAGTTGGGCCTCAGGAAGAGTAGGGTGTGGAACCTGGTATCAGAACATCAATCTGATGGGTGTATCATAGCTACTGATCAATCAGAAGGTGTACAGCTACAGTGCTGGGTCTTGGCAAAGTTGACTTATATTAATGTAAAGCCATAGGGTAATGATTATATATTATCAGAGAAATGGTACTGCAGTTGGTGGTCAGGAATGGCTTAAGTGTTACTTGCCAATAATTATTGAATTTACACTGAAGTCTATAAAAACCAATGGAATAACATGTGAGGTTACATTTGCAGGAATGTGGCACGTGTAAATAATATACAAAATCTACGCCATTCTTGTTCTTATTTAACCCCTGCACTGCACATACCAAGATGTCTTGGTCGATGGGTGTTTTGCTCACTAAGAAAACTCGTTTGTAAGTACAGTACTGTACTGTATAGTGAATGACTCAAACCTCCCGAGAGTACACAGGGTTCACATCCTGTTCTTCAGAACTCCAGTCAACAGATGCCATCTTGAAAAAATTGTCTGCATCCCTCCTGGCTGTGATATAGTCTCAGTGCTGTCGGAGCTACCAAGGCTGGCACATACAGCGGGGACTCATGGCACAGTTGTGGAAGTTGAAGCCTCAGCATGAGATAACAATGATGAATAAAATAAATAACTGCAATTATTTTGAAATGATAATACTGTATCACAGATGATCATAACAGTAATATAAACTATGGAAAAAGTTTAGATGTCATTGAGCACAATGATAGATAAAATGTTCACTGCAGGAGGCAGACATTCACAGCACACAGCCAAGGTTTGTGAATCTATGCATCATGCAAAATGACATAATGTATAATGTTCCATTAGAAAATAAGTGTGTGGAAAATTATTCATATTTATAAGTTAGTGACAAGAATCTAATAATAATAGCAGTGCTGAAAGCATTTTGCTGTGTTAGTGTGCTATAGTCCCACTGAAGAACAGAGGTGCAATAGGCATGCTGAGCAAAAATTCAATCGGCCTCAAAGGTCCAGGACTTTTCAACACTATTTCCCTACACATACGGGGTATAACTGGCCAAAGGTTCCTGTGACATACTGTGGTTCCGTCACATACTGTGGTCCCCTGTCATGTACTGTGGTTCCCTGTTATGTACTGTGGTTCCCTGTTATGTACTGTGGTTCCCTGTTATGTACTGTGGTTCCCCATCATGTACTGTGGTTCCCTGTTATGTACTGTGGTTCCCCATCATGTACTGTGGTTCCCCATCATATACTGTGGTTCCCTGTCATGTACTGTGGTTTCCTGTCACGTACTGTGGTTTCCTGTCACGTACTGTGGTTCCCTGTCACGTACTGTGGTTCCTCATCACGTACTGTGGTTCCTCATCACGTACTGTGGTTCCTCATCACGTACTGTGGTTCGCTGTCATGTACTGTGGTTCCCTGTCACATACAGAACCATGGTGCCCTATCACTGTCTCCTCACAACCTCAGGCATCAGGTATTTGTGTATGTGTATATACAACCTCAGGCTTATATGTTTATGAAAGAAACTATTTAGTTGAACTTCTATATTTGATAGATGTAATTGAAAAGAGTTGATAGAGACAATAATGAAAAAGTTTTCAAATATACATTTCTAAACAGTATTTAAGTGCTGATGTTAAAAGAGTTGATAGTTTTGGCTATGATTGGTTGAAGAGTGTAATTTGTGATACATATGAATTAAGAAACTCATTGGACAGCTAAAACTACGTGGGGATATTAAGAAAAACTATGAAATATGTTTATAGTCTAAGTATAACATTTGTTTCTGTAGTATCTGTAATAGACATTTTTCTTTAAAGTGTGAATCTGTTTTTTTTAATTAAAATTCTATTTGCATGGGAAGTAATAATGATTTTTTCACAGGTACATTATATATGATCTTCAAACATCTGGTGGACAAGTATAATATCTACTTTGCATATGGTCCATCAAGAATTAGCCGAAACATCCACACATCGGCCATCAATTTTGTGATAGTGTCCATTGTTTGCCTGCAGCTAAGCCTCCTGTTCTTCTCTGTTGTGCGACAAGGATTGAAAAAGGATATCACTATATACAGCATTGTCTTACTTATTATAACATGTCTGGTGTTTATCACTCACAATGCCTTCCACTGGTTCAAAGATCTTAGCCCTGTGGAGTATAAGGTATAGTATATAATTGTCTCATCCCAGTTCTTATATCTTGTTTACTGTTCTCCCATTTCTGTTCAAAGTTTGTGCTTTCTCTCTTATCATTTAACTCTTATTCTGGCTCTAAAGTTTCACATTTCCTAATATCTTTATATTGCTCTCCTTCAAAATTGTTACTCAACCTAGCCCTCTTCTATGCCCTTTTGTCTTGTCCCAGCCCCATCCCACAAGTCTCCCATCTATCCAGCCATGTAATACATTCTTCTTCTTTTACTCAGCCAGCCTCTCCTATTCAGCCCTTCCCATATTTATATTCATCCATCCTTCCTCTACAGTTCTCCCACATTCATCCATCCCAACCCTCTCGCTCACCTAACAAACTACTGTTGTCCCATGCAGCCCTTTCCTAAACTCGTTACCTCATGAGTTCCATATTGTTGTGTATGACAGCTTTTTGTTACAAAAATAAAATGCTATTATTTCCTATCCTCTTGTTGCATAGGAAATGCTATTATTTCCTATGCAACACATCTATTATCCTATGCTCTTTGCATTGGGTTACAATGATTTCCAACCAGTGATAATAGCAAACTTTCTTGGTGGGATGTGGAGGTTCATCATAGCTTAGGTAGAATATTCCAGTGGTGAATGTAATGAAACTCTTCTCTCTGGTGAGTCCCACTAGCGCTTCCTGAGCTACACACCCAGACGCTTTCAAACCATCACTACCGTGAGAACCGGTGGATCTCTAATCACTACAGTACAGCAGCAAAAAACCACTATAAAAGAAGCAACTATACTGTATTGACAACAATGCAATATACTGTGTTGTATTGATACAATCAGGATCAGGACCTGATCCTGTAGATCATCTGCTGCCTTAAGAAGAGGGGGCAGTATCGAACACACAACACACATGGGGTAAAAACACTCGTGGACACAACATGTGGAGTCATGGAGACACAGAAAGACCATCAGTAATGAGCACCATAAGGAACACTGCACACCATGACTAGGTTCATAGAAGGAAGTTATATTCATTCCCAAGAATGAGACCTGTTGCAGGGGACTACTGGCACCAACCAGCATGTCAGTTGGCAAAAAGGTGCAGGGAAGCATTGAACAAAATGCACAGCAACATATGGAACATGGAAAGGGAAGGCATATGTTACCACAAAAGCTGGTCATCACACCATCTCTGCACCCCAATGAGAAAACAAGGACCAGGCTGGGCAAAAGGCAGCCGTCTTAGCTCGTAGCAGTATTAAAGCCCAACCATCAGGCTCTGCAGAGGAGCTAGGCTCATACAGTGCCTGGTGTGAGACCCCTCAAGACCAGGAGACTTCAAACGGCAATCTCTTGAAACCTTTCAGGAAAGAAAATTACTTGCGTGCAGCTGAACTGAATAAACACTCGGGGACAAGAAGAGACAATACATGCACATGAAGTAAGTAAAGGAACAGACACAAGCATGCACCCGCCAAACACAAGACAAAACTATGATGTTGCTACAACATTCAAACAGGTTGTAACACCTTTAACAAGTTGTAGCAATATGTAACAACTGGTAACAAGTTTGTAACATGTCATAAAAACTTTATGACAAGATGCAACAACTTTTTACCAAGTTGTAACAAAAATAACAAGAGGGACCATTACATTGTGTGTTTGCAGGGCAGGCCCTACTCAGGAGAAAGTCCAAATAACCAACACACTGAAAATTCGGGCCCTGCAGAGTGGATGATGCCAGAAGTTCTAACACCAGGTTGACTGGGTTGGTTGGCTTGGGCCTCGACCCTTGGGTGAGGGGTTGCAGCTGTTCTCCATGCAGTTGCTTACCGTGGAGTGCTCTTCCTTTCTGGTGGGTTTTTTCTTCTGTACTATGGTCATCAGGAAATCCCCAGGCTCCCCTTTGCTTCTATTGAGAGGGCAAGATCCTGTCCCTAGTCTGGTAGGTGCTCTTGAGTCATTAGAACCTGGTGTGGTACCTCAGGTATGAAAGCTTCCAGGGTGGGTAGCTCAGGAAGGTACATGACCATTTTCTTATTTTAGTACTAGGTTAATACAATTTAATAGACAATTTTCTTACTAAGCATAATGACATAAACATGGTTACAGCATAGCAAAATAGGGAGGTTAGTTAAGAGTTTTGAAAAACTTTCATAGTGGACCCACACCCAAGAAAAGTTTGGAACAACTGGTTTAGTGTAATTATCTCCATCAGTCACTAATAATCATGCTAATCTCTTACAATATGGAGTATTAGCAGATATTTATCTTGCAGATACAAGAGAACTAGTAGTTTTGAACAGATCAGTTTCTATGCATATTAATTTTATTATTCAATGCTTTTTCTAATGAAATTGTAATTCCTTCTGCTTTTCTGGTTACAATATTAAGCCTATTATTTATGCAATTATATTAATTCTGATTTTTAAAATACTGATATGTTGATTTGATCATTTAGGTAAATAGATCCATTTCCATACTGACAATGTCTTAAATTTTTACAAAAATGTCTGATTTAGTGCAAATAGATAAGATATTAATTACTCATAACTCAAAGGTCAGTATTATGAGTCAATAATTTTCTTGTAGAAGTTTGGCGATGGTCAAGTGAATGGTGACTTGGCATCAGTAAGCGATGATGGACATGATGAGGAAATTACTACAACAGAAGTGGCATGTCAGTTTGTGCCTTCTGTCCTACGAGATGCCCCCACCGGAGTTGAATCCAGCTACTCTTTCATAGCCCAGCCACGTAATTATGGAACACGACCACGAGAGGAGGATGGATACACAGTAGATAGTGGCACTATTATGAATGGTGATGTAAGCCCAAAAACCAGAGAAAAAGAAGAGGCAGAACTTTACCAGGATTATTCTCAGCCAAAGGTGAGATTCCTTAATTTACTGTTTACAGTAAGCTCCTTGTTTGAAGTTTCTGGTTTTACATCAGTAAAATTGTTTCAATTGATTGTTGACACATCTTATGTTAATCATTGGTCCCAGTTCATTCATAAACACTACTTATAATTCATAAAAAATCTATGCGAGAACAATAGTAATTTTTTATTAGTCATTATATTAATATGTATATTGTATAAAGTTAATTAGTCCGCCTGAAGCAGTATATCCACTCAATGTTTTTATTCCCCTACTCTGTTCATAATTAAGTGAACGTTAGTACTTCCCCAGAAAGAGTATACTCATGAATTATGCACATTTTTACATATTTGTATTTGTGATACATACTAAAACTCAATGCCTTGCATTCACAAATAGGAAAATGCTGGGCAATCCATTGTACAGTACTATATATTTATAGTACTGTACTTACCTTCCCTGAGGCCTAAGCAATTATTTGTTCCACACACCCATAAGAACTGAAGTAAATTGCCAGCCAAATTGTCAATGTAGTGAATGGGCTCGGTTATCCAAAGTCCGCTGAACCGAATATTTGGGTTATCTGGCCAATATTAGGTCCGGATTATGTCTGCCAGATTTTGCCAAATTCCGATAACCAGAGATTAGGTTACATAAATTTTCAAGAACTATACATTTCAAGATGTACAGTATCACACAAGAAGACAAACAACAATGTAAGCTAAAGTTTCTCTTTTAAATTATATTTTTGATTTGTCATTTGTGTGGAAATAAGAATTATGGTGGTTGTGGTACAAAAAATTTTGAATTATTTATGTTTGGTTTTATTATTATTATAGATTATTATTTTTTTATTTCCCATGTAATAATTCTGTTTATCTGAACATCTGGCTTATTTGGCTAGATGTCCTTCTCATATAGTTTGGATAAGTATAGTATAGTATAAGACAGTATATTGTTAGTGTATTGTACTAATTAATAGTCAAACTGTGTATCTTGATATAATTGCATGCAATGGCTCATAGACTGTTATCACTTCATCAGCATGTTAGTAAACAATATAGCAAGGCATGCATATTAATAATCACAAATTTGTATCTTTTTATGTCATTATAGAATAGCCTATTGACTTTTGCACTTTATATATAAATTCAAACTAAAGTACAGTATAATATTCTGTTTTTCTTTATTATTGCATAGTGCAAATATAACCTTTGTACTAATTATTACAACATACAATTATAAACAAAATGCATTTTTAACTCTTGAATCCTGATTGTGTATGACTAAATTAATGTACACAAGCTGTTGAATAGTGTTGTTGTCATAATTTGTGCATTTCCTTGTTTTGCTTAATTCATTTTGATGCTGCTATTTATATGACTCTGGAAGACAAAACATCCAGGTCTTTGCAATACTTTACTGTCTCATTTTCATTCAAGTAGTGTTTGTATTACTTCAGTACTGTAAATTTGATTATGATAGGGTACAAGTGCAGGTTGTAGCATGGTTAGTTTTGGTCAGCCATATAACAGCACTACTGTGGCGGGGAATAACAGTGGGTGCCTCTTCCTCCTGTGATTGCTCTTGGCTCTGACTACACTCATAGTTTAGTGCCATATGATGGGCTGCTCCTTTTTCTCAATTTTCTTATTTTCCTTTTTATAAATATTTTTTTCATTCTTTCCTCCTATGTCCCCAATTACTGTTATGCATTTTTTCCATCTAATGTTTCTTTCCTCCTGTTTTTACTGGTAATGTTCATGCTGAAAGCAGTCATCATTTTATATATTCTCATATCTGAATGTAAGCAAGTGACTGCTACTTCACTTGGACAAATAGCTGAACTAGCATGTAGAATTCTTTTGACAGATGTTTCAAGTACTACTTCAATTCATTTTAACTTCTGAAGGTATCGTCTGAAATGTATAGAGAATATTCGGTACGTGACCACCCCTTAAAGCCGTTCCTAATATTTGGTGAACTTTTCATCTTGGTTACTCTTCAGTTAAGCTCTGTTGTCATTCCTTTGGACTGGATTATGCAGTCAGGATATCTCAAGAACCTGCACTGGTGCAACAGGATATTTTCAAAATGTCCCTGTTGAGTCATACTGGTGCTATGGAGAGACAAGCAAGAGTATTTAGTTCAGCCAGTTGGCCCACCAACTTGCTACCCTAGATTGCACCAATATTAAACCAGGATTTCTTGAATTGTTCCTCATCACAATCTTAATGGTGTCTTGTAGTCAGTTTAGGGCAACAGAGACTGAAACTCAGAATAACTGACCTGTACTTATCCTTAAACAAAAATTCCATTGTACAATGAGTTTATGCTCAATATGGAAGCCTTTTGTGGGTTGTATACAAGTTATTTATGCATAGAGTATCACAGAACCATGATATACACAAAACAGAGGTATCTTCACAGAACGAAGATATCTTTCATTGAACAGAGATATCTTCTCTGTTCTGGTTCAGCATGCATCAGCTTCGTTCTGTTATCACTAGGTCGTGCTGTGTGTCAGTCTTTTTTCTACCACAGGCCTACCACACCCTTGCCTTAAGAACATAAGAATAAACAAAATTGCAAAAGACCAGTTAACCCATACAAGGCAGTTCCTATTTATATTCACCCAAATTCATTCATATACAGTATGTGTCTAATCTACACTTGATACACCTCATCAATCCCACATCAATTATGTTACCCGGTAATTTGCTCCACAAATCAACAACCCTGTCTGTGAGAGTTTGTTTATTTTTAACTTGTGAGAAGTTTTGGAATAAATTATAATTGGTATAAGGAATTTTAGCTCGGAAAATTTCTAAGAATTTTCTTTATTCTTTAACCTTTATTCCTGTCGTGATATTCAACTAGGTCGCCTGAGGAAGGACTTGCTTAGCTAACACACCAGTGTAGTAACCAGCTCATTCCTCACTTTGGGACCATGTATGAACAATTGACTAGCGCGAGCAAACGCCGAGACCCCAATGAAAATTGAAATCCCCCCCACTTAGGCCGCCGACCTTCGCCAATCGCCGAAGCGAATCTAACGAGTAGGTCACGGGCTCTCACAACAATAATTTATTGTTGTGTGGTGCCGTATATTTGATCCAAAGCTCAGAAAATAAGTCTCAATGTTAGTCGAGTGTGAAGAACATTTGCATAACAATAATAATGTGTGGGGGTGTAACGAAAAGACAGTGTTAACCATAACAACTTAGTTTATTCAATAAAGTACTAACTACTACAACAAAACAAAAAGAAATGTCAATGACGTTACTCGAAATCCTTCCTGTGACACTATCAGTGACAGCTAGACACCAGCCCCTCGGACTGCATAATGAACTAACTCGAACATAAGCGTGACCACAGAGGAATCAACAAGCAAGCAAGAACTAACAGATCTATAATCACAATTACAACAAATGACACAGTAGGTTCTGAAATACGTCTCCAGTAACCTCCTAACTGTTCTACGCCTCAGTGCAGTCTACTCCTGCAACAGCGGTTGCAATGCAATCAAATCAGTAGTCTTTCAATGACAACAATAACTAATGGGTTCACTGGCAACTCCAGCACCCTTCCTCAAATTAATCCTTACGTTAACACTACGTCCCACGGACGATCAACAATCAATAACAATTGATTTACGTTAATAACACAATAACATTTACGTTAGCAACACAAGGTAACATTTACGTTAAATTAACAACTCTTACAACTGTCACTAGTAACGCGGAAATTACACAACACTCTACCCGTCGAGCATTCAGTGAGAAAATCCCATTAATCCCTGTACTTCCAGACAGCTGATTAATCTCTTTACTAGTTACGTTAATTTACGTTAATCGGTTACTAATCACTCAGCGATGGTAAACTCTGATTTACAATGTCCAAAGTGCTAAGAGAACGGTAATCACTCGTGATTACCTTTAGAGTAATTAATTACTATCCTCAAGATCAATAATTAAACAATTAAAATACGCAACCTTTCACACTGGCTCAGCAATTTACATTAAGGTACGAATTCCGTCTGAGCCTTCCATACTCAGACCAATTCAGGCGACTAATAACAGTAATTAGCCCCACGTTTACGTTATTCTAAAATGACGCTACTCCTCTCACGAGTCAATCAAATGCCGGTACTTCCGGGTAGATAACGACGTTACGTTAATGGAACAATGTAGCCTTCGTGTGAGTCGATCAAACAAGGATCGAGATTAATTACTTTGACTTCCTGAAACACGTCAATTACCCGCCCACTGACCGTTAATTACGACAGACAATACTCTAATTCTTATCTGGCTGATGGCTAGGCTCCTCGAGACTACCGTAGCTGCTTACAGGAAAGTATATTAACCCAAACGTATTCTACGTTACTCAAATTGTCAAAGAACAAATTCTCTTAAAGCAATGGGCGTTCCCTTGGTTACGTTATATTAATTGCCTCGCAATCACCTCACTGAATACTGGACTTCGATGTCCTACCAGATAACCAGGAGAATATATTTGTATCCAAGTACTCGTCTACAGCCGAGTTCCCCCACGACAATGACAAATCACACTAGCAAATCACAGTGATTTACGTTACAATCCGGTTGCAATGACAATACTGCAGAACCTAGTAAAATAACCTACAGGACATGAACCCTCTAGAACCCTGCCCCACAATGGTTTTACTGAACTGCAATCACATATGGTGATTGCTCAACACTAGCAACAATCACCATCAAATAACAACCCCCTTTGCAATAACACACACGGCAAGTACTCTAATTTCCAAATATTAGAACCCTGCACACACTTACTTACTTACTGCTGCAAAGGACCCCTAGAACATAGGTCAATATATTGCAATCACCACACAGTAAATAACACATTAACACTGGCACCGTGACACTACGATTATATATATATATATAATTACCGCTGACACATGTAGCCTACAGCTATCAAACGTTATTGGGAACACTAAGGAGAATCTCACACTCCTTAAATCACATGGGTGAGTGATTTATCGGTCACGCATGCCGATAACACTCGAGAGTTACGTTACTCGACAGAGCGGGGGCGGTCTCTCTAGACAGCCTCGTCACTCACCAAACCTCACCAAAATTACGTTAATTAATACTGCAACCACAATATATATATTTATATAA